ATTCTTCTAGAATAAAATACATTATACACCGACTTTTGGGGCAGTAGAATCTACTTTTTTTTGTTTACATTTTCATTGCGAAATATTTTGGGGGATTACGTTAACCACTCCCTTGTCGCACGCCCACGAGATATTTACACGTCGTATATTTAAGAATACCTTAGCAACGCAAGCGTGGCTGCCATGGCAAAATGATATAAAAAACGGCGCGGAATGATAGAAGCTCAGAATCGGTAGCTCGAACTTGAAGAGACTCTTTCTACTGAAGAGCAAGTGAACAAGATTAAGAGATAAAGATGGTGCTTTTACAAGTTCTTTTTATCACCCTGTTGTTTGTGGCGACCTCTCTTGCCAGCTGTTTTCCGGAGCACCCGCAAAAACAATTCTGCAAGGCCGATTTTGGTAAGTTTTCATGCATTCACAGGTTTTTCTTAAATACACTGCAGCCTCTATTTTTTCACCGTAGCGTCAATGCCACAACAAACACTTGGATAGTTTCTTTCTTAGTTCAACCTCGGGTTTCGGTGTCTATTTACCCAAAGGTTAAGGCACACAGCCGTGAACATTCCAAAAGCCTGTTGTTTTAATTGAAGACTAAATGCAATTTACAGCTTCAGTGGTAAAAAGAAACAACATCCATTCTTAAAAGTTGAAGTGGTACGTCTTAACGTTCACGTCTTCGGTGTGTAATATTAGCTGTAAACAAAACAGCGAAGGGCAAAACCTTGTTCGACGAGTGGGCTGGCTTTTCCTGTAAAGGGTGCGCGTTGTCTGAAAATTCGATAAGCCGATGTATGACCCTTGCCTTTTTTGTCGGCTACAGGAAACCTAATAAGGCAAAATTAACCATATTATATTAGCTACTGCATGTGGACCTTGGAAATAATAATTCTTTCATCGAATTCTTCTGAACAATTGTGGGGCACCTTAGATCATCCTCTATAACTGCGTTTTTTGGTCGCTTTATGTCAAAAAGTAACTCCCAGTGTTTCGTTTCGTCAGTGAACTGAAATGTAGCTGAGTATCTCTTTGTTATGAATTTGTCAAATCAATGACCATTTTGCTATTTGTGACCTCTTGTTGAAAGATTTTTTTGACTTAAAATGAGTCACTAAAAATCAACTGACTTCTTAATGATTTGTGTCACGTATTTTTCAAGATCCGTCTTTATCTTTATATTGTATCTTTTACTTAGCAAAATATTTCGAGTTTCTCCTCGACATCAAAGTAATTTTGTATCCGAACAATTTTTGTGCGGTAACATTACTCCTTAAAATTTCGTTAGCGTCAAAATTCACTCACTTCATCAAGAGACATCATTTTTGAAAAGAAACAAGCCTGAACAATGCTGATTTAGTTATCCTGCGATAGATGGTCCTTTGTTAATTGAAGCCAAACGTGGACGCTTCAGTAGAAGAAAGATATTTCTGGATATCCGGTCCGTTAACAAGGCATCTTTTCAGATTCCCGAAATAATTCTGCATTATAATCCATCAAATATTTTTGCTTGCATGTGATTGGTCTAAACGCGTCACGTGACTGAATGTCCCAGCTAAAACTGAGGAATAGCCGAGATATATTGCTCAATTATTTTTGAAAGATAATTAAAACTATACCCCATTTGACTTTAACAATATGGATATTTGTCTTTGGACATTATCTATTTCTCGAGGCTCACAGTTTTCAGCTAGCTTTGCTCTTGGAAACTGTTCACTTCTCCGAACAGATAAAGTATGCGGACAAATATCCGGGCATATTTTCGCGCCAAATGGAGACTATTAGTTAATACCCAGTACTCAATGGTAAATTAAACGTTTAAATTCTCTTTGTCGTTTCGTAGTAATTTCATGGGAAAATCATTAAATTATGACGATGATGGAATAATATTAGAATGCAAGTTTGCCTAAAACTTTTTAAGGTAAATTCTTTAAAATATACGTAACGACTGTTATCATCTCCACATTTCAGTTGTACACGCTAGAGTCCTGTATGGACCTGAATCTGACTACATGCCAAACAGTGGAAGGAATCCATCAATGAAATATCACGTTTACCAACTGAGGATTCTGGAAATCTTTAAAGGCCGTGACCATGTCCAGAAGAACCTGATTCCCGCTAAAGGCTTTAACTTTGTGAATCTATACACCCCTTCGCCTCGTGTGTCCGCCGCTGCGGGCTTGGTCCCAAACTCCGAGTATCTTCTCTCTGGTAGGGTCGAAGCGGGCTACTTGTACACCAGCTTCTGTAACTGGCGCCAAAGGTGGGCGGGTGTAACGAGTGAGCAGCTGGAAGGAGTGCGAACACAGTACAACAAAGGATGTCAGTGTTTAATCGGGTTCTCGTTTTGTTTCACCAAAGACTGTCCAAGACTATTGAAAGGTTGTGATGGATTCCCCGACTCGAACTTCGACTGTAGAGCGAAATTTGATCGGTGTGAAATCAACTTCGGCGGCAATAGCTGTAGTTGGCTAAGCAGCAAGCGAAGAGGGCGTTTCCAGCAATGTGTAAAAATCTCCCAGCGTTTCTTCCCATAAGTAAGTGGAACGTCGTGCGAAATTTCTTAATTACACGAAGACTGAGTTTTGTAATTTTATGGTGATGTCAGCAACGAAAACTAACTGACAAAAATAGCGTTCCACTGATTGGAAAAAGCGATGAAAAAACATTTTACTGGTCGAAGAGCTTTAGTGAACAATGTTTATACAACCACCTATGTGATGTTTTAACAGAATGGTCATACATAGCTCTTTGAGTCCATAAGGGTATCGATGTAAACTGAAAATTTACGTTCCCACGTACCTCTTTCCAAAATGTCATAGATAAGAGGTGTCATAGATAAGAGGTACTATATCAAACATTTTAAAAAGTTGTCATTAGAAGAAATGTAGGAAATAAGTATGTGTAATCAAATGGTTTTCTCGTGAAATTAGGAAATAATTTCACTCGCGTTTTGTCAAAATTCTGATAATTTCCCGGGAATGTACTGATTTTCCTTAGATGATGTACCGTTAGTTTTTGTTTTGAAAATAAAGCTATGTTACTTTTAAAAGCTGCTAATTTTGTTTTATCGAAATATACCGCCGTAAAATAACTCTCTTGTCCTGCATAAATAGTAGCAGCAGCAGTAGCAAAAACAGTAGCTCTTTCATTTTTTCACATCAGCTAATGAACGACTTAACAAAATTACATGGAAACAAAGAGTCACATTTTTACAACACAACGTTTCGACAGTAGACATTTAATTAATTTATCCAAAGTTACATAATATAACGTAAGGTTGGTAACAGAAAGACTTGTATTAAAAAAGAATTAGTACGAAAACGTTCGTTTTCATACAGAAATGGTTCCACCCACCTTGAAGGCGGCAGATTGTCGTATTGAGAAATCTCTCTTGGGATTTTGAGAATAGATACTTTTAGTGTAAAATTTAGTAAATTATTTGTAAGTAAACGTAACAACAATACTTGTGAAACTCACTTGCTTACAAATAGAAAGGTGGAACTTAAATCGGAACCTTATATTACCTTTTCCCATCACACTTTGTCCTCAGATATGTAAGTTTTCTGGAGTTTTTCGGTAAAACGGTACAGTGATTTACATAAAAATGAAGAGTATCCGTTTGCATATGGCTTTGAGCAGACTTGCGAAGATCATGGATATCAATATTTATACCATGCCATAGAAATTACAGCCAATCAGAATACATTCTTGACGGTATTACACTCCGCCCCTCATCGTGCGCTGCGCGTACTGTATTCTATATTTTGGGGGCGTTTTTAATACAAAAATTAATCCACTCGCGCTCAATAGCTATCCGTCACTTTCTCGTATCCAACGCGCGCTTGTGGAATAATTGTTAAAAGTATATATAGTCGAAAAACTCTATTAAATGGGAACTTAAGTATTGGAAAAAAAGTTTTGAACCACATTTCCCTCTTAAAAATTCATCGGCCAAACAAGCATATATCACAATTAGGAAAGCATAGTTATAAAATAATGTTCCATAGGAAATTTGAAAGGAGCAAAAACGTGGTCAAAGCCCGATTCGTTACAGACATTTGCCAGGTTTGTATCGATTTGTCAGGAAAAAAGTCAACATTGTTGTTATTAAAAATGTCAAAAATGTCACAGTCCCCTTTAAGTTGTGAGTTTATGTATGAATGCAGGGACGAATCCAGGATTTGTCAAGTGGGGGTGGATGGCCATTGATGCATGGTACCTTTGGGTTGTAGAATGGGCCACACGGTATGCCCGCAAAATGTTTCAATTTGAGAACTGGAACCTAATTTAAAACCGTTCCACCACAAATACTAGCAATGCCACAAAGTAGAAATAACATTGAGGTACCTGTCTAGAGTGTTTCCCTTCATTTCTGCCATAATATTCAGAATTTATTTCAATTATTTTTTTTTCTCCTTCAAAAGGGGGATGGGAGCCACCCAATCCGCCCTCCCCCCTAAATCCTCTCCTGAAATGACTGCTGTTGTATAAGACCCGTCGTTCAATACGGAAATTGTCGTAGGGAAAATAACATCTACAAGTCGGTGGAAGGAAGTCGGTGAAGTTCGTCTAATGCTCGCTTGACTTCTTCGATTTCTGTAGAGGAGAAAAAGAGGACAAGACGAAGGGACAATGTTAATAACTGAAAAAAAAAATAATGGTGGAGTAAAATCCATTTAATATGAACAAAAACTACAGAGCACTGAACGGCCGTAAGGACTGCGAGGATCAGCAATGTCGAAAATATCATATATGAGTTTTAGCGGTTAGTATTTTTGGGCAACATCCCTATATGCTTCATCTCATATGGAGAATGAATAAATTCTCCTTTGCGACTGGATGTTTAGAATGAACCGTAGAGGAAAGAGGGAAAGGTGAATTCGAAAAATGGCATTTTCGTATTCGTGCCTGGAACCTTCACCTATGTCTCCCCATCCCTGTCCCACTCCCCCCCCCCCCCCCCCCCCCCC